AAAAAAAAAAAAAAAAAAAAAGGATGAAGGAGAAAAGAGAACAATAAAAAAAACGGAGAACAAACAAAAGTAAAGGGGAAAATAATGAGGAAAAATGTTATAAAGCAGTTTGCCTCACATCAGATGCTCAAATTCAGCTTGTCTTGGATAGTTGAGAAAAAGAAGAAGTATCAGCAGAAGAAAACACGATAAGATGCAAACTCAAGAAAGAAGTTTCAAGTTAGAGAAACCAAGAATCCGGTATATTCCAGATAAACTAGATAGAAAGACAAATTATGTATCAGACTGGTTATATCAACAACAAAAAAAAAAAAAAAAATGGTTATGCAGCGGCGTTACTCGTTAAGACATGGAAGATATATGAACCTGTTTTTACATGCCCCACGCTCTCACAACCAGATAGACGTGTCGACGCGCAAGATACTTTACATATAAAAATTATTTAATATCAAAATTTTATAGAGCCAGGAAAAAAAAAAAAAAAGCATTGAACCAAGTCTCGATAAGTAAAATTGATTGAGCCAGCCAAGGAGATATATTTACACAGAAGATGGGCTTCTCTATACAAGAGTTGTGAGAAAGAAGGCAACAAAGAACTACTTAAATAAGTATTTAAGTAAACACAGCCAAGTAGTCACTAAATCTAAGAACTTCCAAGCAAATCCAACAGAGTACCACCATTTTTTCCCACCAAAATATAAGGTCACCAATCTGAAGAGCAAAAGTGTCAGCATACACGGAGACAATTTCTTATCTCAACTTGGAGAAGAGAAATCGAATCAAGATAGGTGAAAAGTGACTGCCTGCTATCGTAATAACTAAAACGAAGCAAGTGAACAATCAAAAATCAAACCTCAGTAAGTTATTTTTTTTTATTCTTTTTGCCAGCTACGAGTTTTTCTTCTTCTTCTTCTTGTTGTTATTCTTCTAGTTCAGAAAATGTCCGCACTGTTTTCCCTTGCCTTCCTTCTTATTTAGGTCGAGCGGGTTTTCTCTCTTCATAATTATTACATATCGCTGGCTGACATCTAATGACAACCCAGCATGCATATATATCTTTAATTCGTTATGCCATTTTTCATATTAACATTGATTTACCAAAAGAAGCTTCCGACACACCGGTTTACACAGACACAAGTTCCTGAATACCCACACCCTAATATGTCGTGCTGACACAAACCATATAATGACCAAAGACTTCTGACACGAACCATGTATTTAGCGATCATGTACATTTGAAATACAGCTAAAAAGTATATAAGTTGAGTTGTTTTCACATGTCAGATTGATACAATCAAAAAGATTCACAAAAGAAAAGAAGTAAATTTGTTTTGTTAATAGTTTGCTAACGGCCTTGCAATTGAAAATAAAATCAGTATGTTATGCGACGTTTTAAAGTTGCTTTTGGGCCCAGATTATTATTTTTACATGAACCTAAAATCAACATAGCGCTTTCTAACAACAAAAAAGAAAAGAAAAAAAAAAAGAATAAGAGAGGGAGAAAGAGACAGACAGGGAGAGAGAGAGAGAGAAAGAGAGAGAGAGAGAGAGAGAGAGAGAGAGAGAGAGAGAGAGAGAGAGAGAAGAAATGTGTGTTTGGGGACTGGGGGTGAAATAAACTCATTTTCATTCCTTCACAGAGAACTTCATAAAAGATGCGGATGCTTTAGAAAGTTATAAAAATATAGTACTCATTCATTTTTCACTTTTTTCAAGCACTTCTAATGTAATAAATAGAAAAAAAAAAAAAAAAANNNNAAAAAAAAAAAAAAAAAAAAAAAAAAGGATAAAAGATAAAGAAATAAGCAATAATTATCACATTTTCTAACAAGCTACTAAATTCTGATCATATCGAAAAAAAAAAATTCTTTACTATTCCGATACCATAACCTTCATCATTAAATTTTCATCTCATATCGTACCATATCAATTTATTATTTTCATCTCAAAATATTTTCCGTCAATATTCTTCAGGATGAATAAGAAAAAAAAAAAAATCCAAAAAATGAAAGGACATCAAATTGCATGTTAAAGATGCAAGATTGCTCCACTCTTACTCTTCCAATATTGCATTCTATAACACCAGATAAAAACAATCAAGTAACAAGTAACACTCGTAGACCACCAGTGCTACTAAAATCGTCCATTACTAGGAAAAAAAAGTCCTAATCTAACTTTTACTGACTCACTGCAGTCGTTAACAGATTAATTCACACCAAAAATAGCAGCTTTTAGTGACTTACTCTAGTCATTTAACATTAAGATTTGCCAAAAGAAGATTACCACACATTGCTATTAGCAGACAAAAGTTCCTCAATACCCACACCCTAATATGTGGTGCTGACACAAACCATATAATGACCAAACACTTCTGACATGAACCATGTATTTAGCGACCATGTACATTTGAAATACAGCTAAAAAATATATACGTTGAGTTGTTTTCACATGTCAGATTGATACAATCAATAAGATTCGCAATAGAAAAGAAGTAAAATTTGTTTTTTAATATTTCGCTAACAGCCTTGCAATTAAAAAAAGTATAATTATCATCGATTGAGCCACTAATGAATTTAGTATGCACAATACCATCACATGATAGAAGGCAAAGATCTTTTCTTTTATGAATTTCTGCAAGGACTGTGTATCATCACTTTAGTGAAGTATAGTGATGGTGAAAGGTAATTGAGTAAATAACAAAAATGTCAGTATGTTGTGCAACAGCCCTCCTACTACAGCGTTGAACCATTTAAACCTAGTCAAAAGCCAATACCCATATAATAAACAAAAAACTATGGTCAGTATGTTATGCGACGTTTTGAAGTTGCTTTTGGGTCCAGATTATTATTTTTACATGAAACTAAAATCAACATAGCACTTTCTTACAACAAAAAGAAAAGAACAAGAGTGCGAGAGAGAGAAGAAACGTGTGTTTGGGGC